GTTTTTTTGAAAAGTCTTTTCATGACAAAAAAAACAAAAAGACTTTAAAAGACATATTCGTGACGATTCAGGTTAAAGTTTTGGCGATGTTGTCGAGGAACTCGGCAATATATTCTTTGCTGTAGTTCTCGCAGAGCTGCTGCTGCTCGTCGATGGTCACCCTCGGGCGCTTCTTTGGCTTGGCGGAGGATTCGATATAGCCAAGCAATTTCAGATTTTCCTCGAACTTTCCCACAAACATGCGAAACACAGCATTTTAATAGCAATAGCTTCCCATAGAATTTTTCCCCATTTGGGACCTTTTTCGAATAGGTGATTTTTCGAACCGATGATTTTCGAACAGATGACTTTTCGAACAGATGACTTTTCGAACAGATGATTTTCGAACAAGTGATTTTCGAACAGATGATTTTCGAACGGATGATTTTCGAACAGATGGTTTTCGAACAGATGATTTTCGAACAGGTGATCGGCCACCTTTTGGAGTCTTGATTTGGATACCGTACTACGGTTATGTTATTTTCACCGCCGCTAATAATCGGTTTTAAATTAAAAAAAAATAAAAACTTTAAATTCAGTTCTATAGATTTGAAACCAATCCGCAATTTTTGCGCGATGTTGTAGGTCAAGCTAAAAGGTAATTTGTAAAGCGGAAGATCCGGCTTTGCCTGGTATATTTCATAATGTGAACGTAAAGCCGACAGTTTCGTAGTTTTGCGATCTCCGATCCAGTTGTAAGCGTCAAAAATCAAACCTTCAAAATCCCGGCGTTGCTTCAAATTTCATAGCGTTTTTATAATGTCCAAGCAAAAACGGGATATCGGATGTCTGTCGGAAATCCAATCTCGCCCGGAAATTCCACGATTTGGAACGCTTTTTCGGGTCAAACTTTGGAAACCAGTGGAACTCTACTTCCACGGCAATGGCTCGCGCGGGCCTAAAAAAACAAAATTGGCAGGCTCGGGTGGATGTGTGGTAGCGGTTGCAAACTGCCCTCAATCCCCGCGAGTTTAGAAGAAAAAAAAACTTAAAAGCCCTCTCTCTCGCTTCATCTCCTTTCTCTCTCTCTCTCTCTCTCTCTCTCTCTCTCTCTCTCTCTCTCTCTTTCTCTCTCTCGCTCTCTCACTCTCTCGCTCTCTCTCACTGTCTGTCTCCTTTTCTTTCTCTATCTCTGTCACGCTCTCTCGCTCACTCGCTCGCTCGCTCGCTCGCTCGCTCTCTCTCTCTCTCTCTCTCTCTCTCTCTCTCTCTCTCTCTCACTCGCTCTAAAAAGGCCACCAACGGAACAAGCCAACTGCACAGATCTGCGCTAGAAGAGAGGAGCCACGCTTGAATGGAGTCCAAATCTGGGTGTGGGTCGCGGGGGGCTGCTGACCAATTCTGAGAGTGTGTGTTCTCTAGAGCACATTGAATTCTTCTTCTACTTCCGCAAAAAGCGGCTGAATCGCTAAGGCGCTAGATATTCCGGAAATTCCGAAAAAAAGCCGAAACCGCCAAGATTTTCAGCTTCCTCGGATACGTGGCGAAGATGAGGGTGGGAATTTCTGGTTTTTTACCCGATACGTTTCATCGAAATCTGCGGTTTTTGTCATAACATTTCTGTGGTTTTGTCTTTCTGAGCTGATCAGAGTTGTTGCTAAAAATCCGACGAACAACGAACCGTGCGTTAAGCGATAAGGAGCACGACCACGGAAAAACTGCCAGGGTAATACGAAGAAAATGGGGTCTTCTACTCCAACGCGAAAGGAAAGAGTTCGGCCAACAACTTCAACGAGTTCAGCTCATTCGGTGCTAATTTTGGGGCATCTGGCTTGGCATCAAACTCAGGCGTGCTCTCACCAAATTCAAGGAGTTCTAAGAAGACACTTACAAACGGGGGAACGCGATTTAAAATTTTGAGCTGAGCATTAGCAAATTACACTCGTTTTCTCAGCCTTATAAAGCAATTTGCAACTAAAGAGGCAGCTATCGCAAAAATGCATGAAGTTCAAGGAGTTGGAAATTTCCGGCGCAAAAGCCCGCAAAACTAGGGACTTTTGCAAACTTCTAGTTGAAGGCGTTCCCAAGGAGCTTGAAGGGGTTTCGCCCTGCTTGAGCACCTTCTGGGCCCTGCTTGGGTCCCAACTGCGCTCCTCATAACTGCCGAAAACCAAAGAACAGCCTAGGGCCCAGTTGTGCATAGGAGGAACAGCTCCCCCACCCCTTCGGCACTTGAGCCTCCCAATTTCCTATCTTTTGCGAATGGCGCATCGGCCTCCGGGTGGCCGCTCTCCAAATTGCATTCCAAACTAGGGTCCCGGCTAGAAGAGAGGAGCAAGAGAAAAAGGAGCACGAGGCGACTGAATTTGTCACAGAGATGGGACCCCGTTTTTACACCCCGACATCCGCATCACTCTTGCATTCATTTTTAGGGGATCAGGGTTTTTGGGTGGTTCAGAGTTCAGGAGCATGAACTTTTGTCCAATAGTTTTTAGAACAATTTTGGTGAGCTTCCGGTTTTGTGAAAGGCTTAGTTTAGCTATTCAAAGTTCAATGTTATAAAATTTTCCTGATATCACAAACGAAGAATTTACGAAATTCCCAAGAGAGTGCGTTAATCTTTGAAGAATTTGACCAGTTTTTGATGCCTTAAAGGAACAAAGCTCGAAACCAGAGCATGTCTAATTCAATCAAATTTTTGATCGTCCCTGGGAGCTTCGAGAAGGATTTCTTTCTCTCCAGAAGGACAGGATTTCACGAGATCACTTCTCCGGATTTCTAACTTTGTTTCGAGATTCTGGGCTTTTTAAACCAATAATTTTAATATCTAGTGATAAAATATTTAATAAACTCTTTAAAGGGGCCAGTTAGCTGCAATACCAACCTGTGCCGTGAACCGGATTTAGAGAGTTACCTTAAGCGGCAAACGTCTCGTCCAGAAGTTCCATTTTTAAAAACGCGTAGAATGGGCTCTTTAATATGGTGGCTGCAAAACGAGCCTCAGTTTTGCATTCCTGGCACGCGCCTCCTAAACCTCGAGCTCCCCGGATCTCTGAATTTCCGAAAATTCTAGGCGCTTTCTTCCTGGCCATTTAAAAAAATGACGACAACAAAAAACGCATCAGTTTTGCACTTCTCGAGCTTGTTCTCTTTAAACCTCGAGCTCCTGGATCTCCATATTTCCTTGAATTCACGGCTGCTGGCCAGCGTCAAGAAAATTCGGGAAGGAGCGGGATGTCCGGGAGGAAGCAAGAAAGAGCACGAGGCGCCGGGGAGTCCCGTCTTTTTGCTAGCTCCTTCTCCTTTTTTGGCTTTTTTCGTGGGTTTTGGGGGAAGAGGCCCCTTCCCCTCACTGCCAAGAAGAAGAAAAAGGCCTTATCGAACTTCCCTTTATAAGCTCTTCCCTTCCTTCGCCAGCGCCACACTCTTATTGCCCATATTTGCAGGCGTTTTCCGGGAAGATTCGGGGGAACTCCGGTTCCGGAAAAGTCGCAAAGTACGGAGTTCTTGAAGCGTTTTTTGTCGACGACCAATGGCCAGAATTTGTAAATACTTTAAATTTGAAGCTGGGCTAATTTTTGTCCACTTCACTTATTAGAAGCGTTTTCTTAGACAATCCGAGAATTCCGGTTCCGGAAAAGCCGCTAATTCTGCATTTCGTGAAGTTCTTGTCCTCATCCGCATCTCCATTTAAATTAAAGCTAGAATTTGCGCTTCCCGCTACTTGGAGCGCAGTTTCGGAAGTTCCGGATCCGGAAATGCCGTTAATTAGACAGTTTTTAAGCGCAAGGTGGTGCTCAATCTTATTTCTGAATTACAAACCCATATTTCACGTTTTTTTTTATTCTGAAGCTGGTTTTTATACTTCAATTTAATTTCCCATAACTCTTTTTGCATTTCTAGGTTAAAACCGTCGTTGCCACGTTAAAATCCACTCTTAAATTTTCCAAAAACCCCCTCGATCAACTTTCCAAAAACCAGAGTAACACCGAGACAACGCATTATATATTTTTTTTTGCTGGAAGTCGTTGCATAAAATCTCGACGTCTTTGGTTTTGAAAAGCAAAAAACGCGCAAAAGCTGGGTGCAGGGCAGAACATAGACCAAAATCACAACTGTCACAAAATTCAACTAAAAAATGCTAGTTTTTTTGTTATTTTGTTTATTCGAATTGGCGGCACTAGATTGTGGGCGGCCATGTCGGAAGAATCGAAGAGTAAGGACAATTTCATTCATAAATTATTTAAACAGATAAGAAATTAATTATTGAAAATCTCAAATGCTAGTTATCTATTAAATTTATTTTTTGGCATTTCTGAAATTAAAAAAATGTTATTTTTAAAATATGATTTAAACAACAACTTGCTAGGAAATTTTATTGGTTAAATAAATTAAATAAAACCTGGAATTTTACAATAGTCTTTAGTAACTAGTCAAAAATTTCATTTAGCTCTTCGAAAAGACGCTAAAGCTACTCCTAATTCAAACATCCGAAATTCGGAAATGATCATTGCCGGAAATCTGACTGGCCCGTCTGTGCCTTATAAACTTTATGATTCATCAAAATCAACAAATCTCGGCTCGATGAATCGAAAATAGTTTGATTCTTCGAATTTCCGATTTCCGGTCCTGCCGGATTTCCTGAAAAACTGACATCCTTTTCTTCATTTTTACGAATTTTTTGGACATTTTTGACCCAATAGATCTTTGATTTTTCGCCCCCAACCTCTAAAAATCTTCTCGAAATCATTTCAAAATTTTGCTGACAATCTGTTTGCTAAAAAATGCGTAAAATGCACGATCGCCACAATTTCTAAAGATTGCCCCAATCTTGCGCGAGAAATCAGTGAAAAATCAAAGACGGGGGAGGTTAGAAACGTGTGGTACCTGACCACGATACCGACACCACGTCAAATATTTGCGCAATTTTTGGACTGACAATATAAAGGCGGTGCTCCTTTGGTAGTTCCTTCAAATTTGCTAAAAATCATCAACTGCGAAAAACTACTGTAGCCTTAAAAATGCAAGGCGCCCAATATTCGATTCGAAAGGTCAATGGGGAGCCAATTTTTGAGGAGGTGAGTTGGAAACGAAACGCTTAAATAACCATGATAATTTGTTCCGTAAGCCTCAAAAATGCATCGCTTTCAATCCCCATCTAAAGCGGGGCATTCAATTTCGCTCTAAATGCTAATTTTCCATTTAAACCCAATTAAAATTGACCTTCTCTCAAGTTTTTCAGATGCCTATAAATTAAAATATTGTACTCTGCACCTTAAATAAGGATGACGAGTGAGCGCGATACACAGGGAAAGAGAGATAGAGAGAGAGAGAGAGAGAGAGAGAGAGAGAGAGAGAGAGAAGTGAGAGAGGGAGAGAGATAGAGACACAAAGCGAGAGAGAGATAGAGAGAACCAGGCGAAGGAGCGTCTTTTAAGTTTCAGCGACCTTACTGGGCTTTCTAGCCTTTTCGAATGCGCTGGAGTCCAATTTTTCTAATGAGCTTCCCGGTTTTTGCGTAGGGTATGAATATAATCATGCGCTTCTATTATAATTGAAGTCCAAGAGCAAGGGCGATGGCTAGAGACATAGGGAGAGAACGAAATAGAAAGAGAGAGAAAGAGCGAGAGAGAGAGAGCGAGAGAGTGAAAGCAGGAGCAAGAGAAAGCCACGGAATGGTTGGGTTTTGGCTTGCTTTTCCACAAAAAACCCTGCAACCCTGCCGTTCCTCGTCCAAATTAATCATTCGGCGACTGACCCCGACGGGGGGGGGGGCATTTACGTAATCCAGAGATCCTCTGCTTTCGACCTGCCTGTTGTTGGGGAGGCCCTTTAAATTAAGTGGTGGAAGATTGATGGGGAGGAGCAGATAGGGGGGAGACCTTAGGGCCCAGGCCTCGGGCCCCAAGCCATTCCCTTGGGGAAATGGGCCCAGCCACATGCTTTCCGCAGCTACCCCCGTCTTCGACAATCTTTTTTTGCCCTGATTTCAGCGCTTGTCCATCCAGGAGCTTGTCATTGGAATGGTTGCCGATTGATAAACTGCACATTGAACTTTTGAACTTTGTTTGACCTCGGGAAGAGTCTTTTAAAGGTTACTTCCAAAACATTTTCATTTGTTGAGATCCCGAATTCACGATTTTTTAAGGGTTTGATCCAATTTAAAACAAGGTCGAAATCTAAAAATTCTAAAATTAAAATCTAGGGATCAACTTATGTAGGTCATTAAAAATCAACAACTTACATGTTACATGTTACATGTTAGATAGATTTTCATGAATTATTTAAATTTCTCCACGTAGGAAAATCGGTGGTTTCCTTCTTTCATCCTCTCTTTAAAAACTTATTGTCCGGATCTTATCCTCTTCGCTGGATTTGATAGAAATTAACAACTAGGGGGCTTAGGAACGTCAGTATCACTTTCACATTTGTCGAAAAAAATTTCTCTAAGGAATTTCGGACCGTTGTAAAAATAATTCCATCAATTCGACTCTAAATCGTAGATCACTCCGGGCATGCAATTTTGCCCTTCTTTTCCTGATCTAGCCACTATAGAAAGGGTGGAGAAAGCAAAACATAGCGCTGTTCCTAGGCTTTTAATTTCCAACCGCCATCACTTTTCCTTTCTTTCCTTAAAAGCATGGAATTTTTTACAGCTGATTGCGACTTTAAAGCGCCTTTTGAATTTTATAGAAAGACGTATGTTCAATTCAGATCTCATAAATCTACGTTATATTGCATAAATAAATCTATGTTGTCTCCCTCTTGACCTTTACGCTCAATTGCCTCTCTCCAGCCTCACGCAATGTGTTTATTCGATGGAGCGGAAGTTCTAAAGTTCCGGTGTCCTATGTAGGTCCCAAAAACTCGCTCAAAGATCCCGAACTTGAGAAACCGCAGTTTTATTGGTTGACGCCTGGATTTTAGAGCCTAGATTCTTATCAAGCCTGCTCGTAAACTTGAGCCGCTTATGGTCACACTGCAAAAAACGGCTCGGAGCACAAAACTGCGGTTTGGGTTTCGGTATTTTTTGGCAATTTCTGTCCAAAATTAAATTGATTTACGGTATCAACTATATTTTTACTCAATTTCGCACATCTCAATGAAGGCAAATTTTTGTGTTGTTTTTATTTGGCAAATTTGTAATTTGCAACTCCTTTTGACTTGATTTTCAAAATAAACTGTAGTTTGGAAAGGAAAGAATGCTCATTTTATGAGTAAGATATAGAAATTCTTCCATTAAGGCTAATCCTGATCTCTGATCTACTTCCTCCCCTCCTCTCATTTGAGCCCGACCCAATTCCACCAGGCCCCCAGCAATTTTGAGTTTTATGGCACCACATAAAAGCCGGAAAAGACTCTAGGGGTTCACGCGTTGTAACTAGCCGTCGGGCTACTGAAATTGCCAAGTTCACTAAAACAGCTTTCAATTCTAAATTTTATCAACCTATTCTACCATTTCCAGGAGATCTACTCGATCTACCCGCCGGAGAAGAAGTGCCAGAAAGAGGCGATAATGACTGGGCACTGGAACTACTGCGAGGATGGGGAATGCGGTAAGAATTGAGTAAATATAGCAAAAAAATTCCGGCAGCTCCATAGGGTGCCCATAAGCCTACGCTAAGCCTAGGAAAAGCCTCACCAAATCTCCAGCTAAGCCCAATTAATCAAGGTCTATAAATTTTTGACTTCAAGGCTCCTTAAAATCGTGAATCAGTCGTCATATGCATATTTCAGGCCCCGCCCACTGGCCCGGCGCCGACGGCCAACAACAGAGCCCCATCGACATCGACCTCTCATTTGTTGAACGCAAGGATACGGTGGACGGCATCAAGTTCACCAATTATACCAAAGTTCTGAAGGGCAACATCACCAATAATGGACATTCTGGTGAGATACCTAGAATATATCATAAAAATTGAAGTTAAGGGAGCATTCCATGTTTTTGACCACTCTTTTCAAATTCTTAGGGTATAACACCTACATTTCAGTCCAAATCACCCCCACCCCCGGCGGTGAACTCCCCGAAATCTTTGGCGGCGGCTTGGACCAGGTATATCGCCTTGTGCAGTACCACTTCCACTGGGGATCAACGGAGAGTGAAGGTGGGTGAAAATCTGCATAATCATCTGATCATCTACATATTTCAGGAGCCGAACACACCCTTGGCGGCCTCTCCTACCCGGCCGAACTTCACTTGGTACACCAGGGAGTCGAAGACAGCTCCCGTCTGGCTGTTCTCGGCGTTTTCCTCAAGGTCGGCAAGGGCGGTGAACTCCTTGCTGACGTCGAGCAGGCGCTGAAGAGGATTGTTGAGCCGAGTAGGTTAATTTACAGGGATTTGGTTGCTCGTGGCCAGTTTCGTCTTTTAAAGTTCGTACTTTAAGTTACGTCCGGCGTCACCAAGAAGTTCACTTTCAGACGCATCCACTAACCTCGACGCCATCAACATCGGGAGCAAATTGCCGAAGAACACGAGCTCCTTCTTCCGCTATGAGGGCTCCCTGACGACGCCGCCTTGCAGCGAGATCGTCACCTGGACGCTGTTCACCGATCCATTGGAGATCACCAAGGAACAGGTATGGACCACGGCTTTGCTTTGAAAAAATGGCTTCAGCAAATTTAATTAAATTAAGAATATCAAGTTTAATTAAATTTGATATTCTTCAATTAAATTATTAAATTAGCAAATTTAATTAAATTAAAAATACAAAATTTCCAGCTCAACCTCCTGCGCACGCTGAAAGACACGGAGAACAAATGCCTCAACCGCAACTTCCGCCCCACCCAAAAAATCAACAACCGCACCGTATATCATATTGTGGCGAAGCACTAATGAACCATCGAATTTCCATCCGGTCTATCCGGTTACGTCCGGTTAATCATCCGGTTTTACCCATTTTCTAGTCTCCCAGAACATTCCAAGTTTCCCACCAGATTCTTACAGCAATAATTTTGCACCGCCTTTTCCTTACCCTCAGCCTGAGCAGCCAGCTTTATCCCAGCATGTGTGTCATTTTTCCGCTATGATTTATTTTGCTATGTAAAAACATGTATTTTGCTAGGAGAATAGAGTGCTACCGTATCCTGTGATAGCTTCCCTGATTACCCACACAGATATGTGTCAAAAAGAGGAAACAGAGAATAAAGTTTTTTGTTTTAACATCTGTTTAAAATGCAAAACGAGCGTCTTAAGATGGTTTTTAATTAGAAAAATCTAATTTATTTAACTAGCGTTATGAAAAATTATTTGTTTTAATTTAGCTGTCGAAAAATGGTTCAAAACGGCTCGAGGAATCTGGAAAATCGGGAAAAGGTCAAATTTATCCGATGGATATTCATCAAAATTAATCACAAATTTAGCCGCTTTAAAATTTAGATTACACGAGAATGCGCGGCCATAACAACAACCAAGAAAAATCGACGAATTTCACAGCGTGACTCGAGAAATCGCGAAAAATCACGAATTATTACAATTCTCCGGTACAGTGTAGCCAAAATTAATCACGAATTTAGACGTTTAAAAAATAAACATAGAACATTCCATCAATGCGCAGCCAAAATATCTAAAAAAGCGGGAATTTCACATCGTAACTGGATCGGCCCATTTCACCTCGTAATCAAATGCTCATAAAAAAATTTTGTTGCGAAATCAGCGCTATCCCTTAATTTCCTAAGGTCGTTAATTCTCAATCTAGCGTCCTTATCCAAAATTAATTAAATGAGAAATCGCTATACGTTTCTGCTCTTCGATTCGATGTCTAGCCAATAATTTCGTCTGAAAATACGCGGCCTGAATCATCAAAATTCGCGGCGGAAAACATGCCGGCGATTCAACAAAAGTTAGACAAAATATGTCAAGATTCCATTCCATACTAATTACGCCAAAATTCGAAAAATTTACGTCCATGGATGATCATATTCCGGGGATTCTGGGCGGCCGCCAGATCTTTTGGTGTCCGGGTGGGGATGGTGAGTGAAGTGAGATAGCGCCCTCTCCGCATCCCCTCCCTCGCCTGGGGGTATAGCTCAGTGGTAGAGCGCTCGCTTAGCATGCGAGAGGTCTGGGGTTCAATTCCCCATACCTCCAAAAGCTTTTGCTTTTTGAGCGTTGGTTTCGGGATGGTGTCTAGAAGCCATTTTTACCTTTCATTTATTGATACTTTATGCGATACCTCTTTAGGCTATCTTCCTTTTTGCCCACAACCAACCGATCCGGATGATCACTAGTAAGAAAAATAAAGGAATCGTTATCAAGCAAACACATTTAGTTACTGCTGCATGTATTTTTATCTTGAAGTCGATAAGCCATCTTGCTGTCAATATCCGATAAACGCGGGCCTGGTTCTAATGCTCTTTCCCGCATTTTTCGTGTTTTTCCTGCGTGAGTTTTTTGGGTAGTTTTTGAAGCCGTGCTTTCAGTGATCGCGTTTCTCAGCTGGTGGTTCACGTGCAGAAAATAAACTTCTATCTAATCAAAAAACATCTATGTCAAGTTAATATCTATTTGGAATGGATAATATGCCCTTTGTGAAGCCTACGATGTAGTAAAAAAAATGGAACATTGAAATTCACACAGAACAGTTTCGGATCTTCTAATGACACCCATACACCTCTAAATCTCCTCGCGCCTGGCAAATAAAGCAGAAAATCCATTATGTATATTCTACAATTGCAGCTTTTTTAATTTATAGTTATCATTTATAATTCCTAATTAATTATATACATCTTCCGAAGTGAAAAAATCCATTAAGATCCAATAGATCACTTCCGTAACTTCCAAATGACACCCTGGCATTTCCAGGTCTTTTTGATTCTATCCAACTTCCTGGGGGAATCCCAGACGTGGCTTTTCCTTCACTTCCACCACCATCCACGAACAAATTCTCATTTCGTGCGAGAATATGTGAATTTTTGGGGCCCAACATCTGCGCGGGGAATTTGTTGCGGTCGATGCGCCCCTCGTGGAACTAGCATAACATGGCATCATGGGCTATTTGACGCTAAAAATTTATATATTTTTGCTATTGCTTACGGGTTTGGATGGCGCGTTAAAAGTGGCACACCTACAAACGGATCCGTTAGAAACCCGCGTTTATGAGAGATGCTTGACAAGTGGGGATTATAAGTGAGTTTTAGGGTCTGAATAGTGGTGATTTGAAATGCACCTATATATAAAAAGTTTAATAAATAACTTAATTTTAATTTATGATCAAAAATTGTCAAGTACTCGGATTGAAGGGGCAAAAAACTTGTGATTAATTTCTGAGTTGCGTAGAGAAGACCATTGATGTGTTAGGTGGTGTTGTGTGTTGTGTTAGGTCCACTTAGCTGGTGTTTTTAGCTTGAAAAGTTATAACGTAATAAAAGTGTTTGAATTTTTAAAAAATAGAGGAAGTTTTGATCTATAACTCTTTAGATTGGTCACATTGGCGGCTTGCAAAAACTTTTGTGGCCTGGAGAATGCGGCCACGATTCACTACACTGAAGATATTGACTTGTACCTCGGAGCGAGTTGTGATCAGGGTAACTAAAGTTGATTTTGATCGTTGTCTGGCTTTTTTGCTTCTTATAAGGTTTTTTAGCAAAAAGTTCCGGAACATTTCCCAACAAGGCATTCAAGAGGCAACTTCGATTTAGAATACTTTCAGAAGCCCACACAATCTCCCGACTGGCCGAAAGATGGGAGCGCGCCTATATCACAAATTATCCGATCGACTTGAAGGAAAAGGGGAACACGACGACGATCGTCACGCGAAATTCGAGTTTTGCCATCAGTCAGGCTCTAGGAGCATTGGCCAAGCACTTGAATTGGACCAGGGTAAGGTCCTTCATTAAATAGTAAGAAGTTCCACAACCCAGATGGCGCTCGTGCATTCCGACTCCTTCCACACGATGGCGAATGCCATATCAAAAACATTGACTGCTGAGTATGATATTACCATAGCCACGATATTTCCCCATCATTCGGACGGTGGCCTGAATGTGATGGAGCATTTAGCTCGGGGTGAATGCGGCTATCGTTGCCAATCCAACAACTTTCATCGCTTTCAGCCGTCGTCTTCTTCGGCACCTTTGTCGAATACACCAAATTCTTGCTGAAAGCCGCTGAAACTTTTACCGCTCTTTCCGAATTCTCCATCCTATTTATTGATTTTTATGACGTCGAGCCAAATCGTTTCTATCGATTGGCGGCGAACTTTGCTTTGCAGCACGAGAAGCGTTCGAAATTGAGGATATTGTTAAGGAATACTTTACTGGTAAAATCGACGGAATTTGACACGCTTCTTTAGTTAACGGCCCCCTTGAATATGCTGAAAATTGTCGACCTGTTGGCTGCTGAATACGGGGTCCAAGTAATATTTTTGCGAATAAATCGAGCCCACTGTTTTAGAAATCCATCCCATTCCAAGAAACGCTGCTGATCTGCGATTTGCTGCATGCTGGGTTTGGGCTGGATGAGCCGAAAAATCGGTCATATCACGGTAACTTGGCCATACTATTCCAGACGCAATCCCGGCAGCCAAAATCCCCGACAGGTCCAAAATCCCGACAAGTCGACAATTCCGAAAGCCAAACGTGTTGACAATAGTCTGACTGTCTGTCTAGTGAGTGATTCCATTTCAGCAGCTATTTCATGTCGGTATTTTGATCTGTCGGCATTTGGGCCGTCGATACTATGGCTGTCGGGATTTTTGCCCTTCCCATCAGCTTTATACAGGCAGCCTTGGTCATTACTATCTCTCCGAGACTGGGATCGTTTTGCCGGACTACGAAATTCACTGGTACGACGGAACGAATCAGACCCTGATGGCCACGATTTTCGGGGTGGATCCCGTTGGCAGTATGGCAATGGTAAGTAATGACACCAGAAGATGGTTGATTGGTATTATTCAACTCTGAAAGTAATATCTACCTCTAATTTTACTTTTCATCTTTTAGCCTTAACTTTTGTACTTTTTTATTGCCCTTTTTAGGATGTCCGCGACGAAAACCCATACTGGACAGCACAAGTCCCGCCAAGCCTTCCGATCTGTGGTTTCGACGGTGGATCGTGTAGCAATCGACTAATCTACCTCGCTATCGCCTGTATCGGCGTTGTTTTGGCCTTTCCACTAACCTTCGCCTGGTACTTTAACCAGTAAGGCAGATTTTCTCTATAATTCGCATCCGAAACTTTCAGGAAAGAATACGAGCTTCAGAAAATGGTCTGGCGGGTCCCGCACGCCGCCATAAGGCTGGGAGGGTGCACGGAATTGGTTTGGAAAGCGCCCAGGCAAAAACGAAACCTTTCAGCTGAATTCTTCTACCAGTGAAAAGCTGAGAATGTCTTCATTTCGTACCAACTCGGTTGCTTATTCGACGAGTGGAGGGTTGATTGGTGATCACTGTCAGACGGGGATCGTTTTTGGCAAAAAGGTAAAAAGCGTGGTTAATACAAAATACTATATGCAAAACACAGTAAATACGCAAAAAAAAACTATAAAAGTTATTAAAAACAGTTTAGAAATTCAGACGTGGTGGCCATTTAGTATACAAATTAAGATACCTTCAGGTTACCGTCAAATCCTATATACAACGACACCTGATCGATATTTCTAGGGCTGATATGGGCTATTTGAAAGAGGTAATTGGCGCATTAAAGACCCCGATAAACGCTTTGATCCTAGAGGATTGGCGGCGATTTGAAGCTGGAAATAACACATAAAATTTTTCAATTTTGGTATTAAAGAACTGATCTACAGAGCGCCAGATTCTATCTTCCTTTTTAGCTCTACAACCTCAGCCACGCCAACATCAATCAATTCGTTGGTATTTCATTTGATGGCCCATCTGAAGTTTTGGTTCTTTGGAATTACTGCCCCCGACATAGCCTTGAGGACCTCTTCTTCATCAAGGAACACAAAATGGGCCGCAATTTCTTGGCGTCATTTTTACGGCAGATTTTGAGGGTATGAGCATGGCTTTGAGGATCTAGAAAACTGTTTAGGGGCTGCATTTTATTCATAACTCTCCAATTCGATGTCATGGTGCATTATTTCTGTCCAATTGTGTAGTGGATAGTTATTGGGTTGTCAAGTTGACGGATTTTGGGATAAGAAGATTTATAAACGAGAAGGTGAGTGACCAATTCTCTCTCTCATCTCTCTCTCTCTCTCTTTCCTTGCAACTTTCATAATTTTTTAGGTGAAAGAAAAATACATTTTTGAGCCTCCATTAATCGCTGCAGAGCTTCCAAGACGTAAGAAAGTCGGTGAAAATTTTTTTAATTATACTTTTAGGATTCCTCCAACATTCTCCAGAATTCCTAAGGGAACTAGTCACTACTACCGAATTGCCAGTAGGAAATCATCAAACCGATATCTATCAGCTTGGTATGATCATCTACCAAATTTTGTTCCGAAAGGTCCCTTTCAACGAGCATCGACAGCCAATCGAAGGTAAGAATGAAAGGCCGACAGTTTGAACGGCCAACTAGCAAAGGTTCTTTGGCGGGGTTGGCTCTGAGGCAAACTAGCAGGGATCATTGGGGCTAACAAGGAGTGTCCATTTGGTGAAAACGGTTCGGCAAAACGATTCGAGACCCAGCTCATTCGATAGAGAATTGAATTCTGAACAAGGCGGTGTTGCTTTTTGCGGAATGGCTGCCCTGTTTATAAAATTATGCCGGCGACGCCCATACATTGGTGCCTGGGGGCGGTTGTTGGTTTCGCGCTGTTTTTATTCTATAAATCAGGGACAACCTTCCGCAAAAATGAACACCGTCTTTTCAGAATTCATTCTCTATCGAATGAGCTGGGTCTCGAATCGTTTTGCCGATGACACCTTGTAAGATTCTCGGGCAAACTAACAGAGACCATTTTGTAAAGCTTTGTTCGGCCAGCAAAGAGCATCAGAGAACCATGAACGTATTCGTTTCAGAACTAATTCAAAAAATCATCGACCCAGCCCTGGCGATACCATTTCGCCCGGCGGTGCCAGAAGATACTGAGCATACCTTACGGTAGTGGATATGCTTTATAAATTAGCATATATTTAGGTTGATATCGATCATCCAGCAGTGCTGGATCGTCAGAGCATGTCAGCGCCCAACCTTGACCAAAATCCAGGATGCCGTTTTGAGAGAGTTTGGAGCTGAGTAAGTCGGAACTTATAAAGTTAGACCTGGATGATGATAATAATATTGGTGAGAAAACCGATAATTACTATACGAAAATACTTCTTGTTTTAGAGGTAAAGGCACACTAATAGACTCGATGATCGCGATGGTGGACGAGTACTCGAATCACCTAGAGAATATCGTGGAGCAGCGAACGGAAGAAATCCAGACGTTACAAAGCAAGACTGAGAATTTGTTGTATCAACTGTTGCCAAGGTACCGATATACACTTAAAAGACTCTCAGCGCTTAACGGCAATTGAAGATTAACTGTACCTTAAAATGATGCTTTTTAGAACCGTAGCAGACAATCTTCGAGAAGGAAAGCCAGTACCGCCGGAGCTTCATCAATCCGTAATAATGGGAACGCTATTTGAGCTGTAGCTTATAAATTTTAGGCTTCCCTCCTTGCTGTAGATGTCGGAGATTTTACAGTATTATGCGAAGATTCTACTCCTTTGCAAATTATTGAAATGCTGAATAAGCTCTATGGCAGATTTGATTACATTGTTGAACAGCATAGAGCGTTCAAGGTATGTTGGGGTCTCTTTTCATCATTTATTGGCTTCTTTTAATGGTCTAATCCTTATTTATTTTTCAAGATGCTTTTATGTTTATTTTAGGTAGAAAATGTTGGCGATGCCTATCTTCTCGTTTCTGGCATCCCAAAATTGGACCATCAACGACATTTGGCTGAAGTCTGTAAGCTGGCGTTGAAATTTCAACAGGTACAACAAATCAGCTCAGCTTTGATAAAAAATTACTTTAGTACGCCTTAAACGACTACCGTATCCCGCATCATCCAGAAAAGAAATTGCGCCTGAAAATGGGGATCCACACCGGGCCGCTCGCTAGTGGGATACTGGGAATATCAGCGCCTAGGTATCCGGTCCTTACCAAACCCGAAAAACCAATATTTTTTCTAGATTTTGCGTCTTTGGCGATACGGTAAATATGACTTTTCGGATGGCGGCTACTTGCGAGCCTGATAAAATTCAGGTAGCGCTACTTTAGCAAGTAAACTCAACAATCTTGCAGCTGAATGAAAGCACAGCTCGACTCATCCAAGACCTGTTCCCAAAAATTATTGTGAAAGAAAGAGGCGTTATCGATATTAAAGGAAAAGGGAAACAAACAACGTATTATTTAATTGAGGAGTCGAAATAAAAATGGGACCGTGTGTGGGCCTATGCTTTCACAAACCATTTAAATGCAAATAATCACGTCTTTATGGCTAAAAAGGAAAATAGGTGACCTGTACAGACAGCAAAAAGGTCTCCGAGGCCTTTGGGCTATTCCAAAAGTGCAAAAAGCCTACGACACTCGGGATTCCCAAGCCGTCTCCGATCCAAGTACTAACCGAGCCCAACGTTGCTTAACTTGGCAGATCGGACGGGATGCCGTGCTTTCAACGTGGTATGGTCGTAGGCGAGGGGAGCAGGCGAACTGGGGGTTTTCTGCTGGAGGAAGGTCAGTGAGTACGAGGAGAAGAGAGGTATCAGACAGCTCGGTTAGTCCGATACCTCGTCCCCTGTGAAGAGAGTGGTTGGAGAAAGAGGGCGATCGTTCGTTGTGTGGTTGCCCGTCAATCGTTGTCTTTCGTCTCGTTCTCTAGTTGATATTTCCACTCACCCATCCACAGCTTCGGTTTAATTACCCAAGTTTGAGGTTAGCATTAACCCCGAGACCTCCATAACAACGAGTGTTTCGAACAAATTTTGGAACGCGTTCTCTCACGGGGGCGCACAAAACTCGATTGGAGTAAGCTATTATGCTACCATTTGGTTATGATCGCGTTAAGGTTAGATTTCCAGGGTATTTCCAGGGAACTTATGGTGCAAGTGCGTTATTTTTAGCGGTAGCTATTAAGAGGAAGCCTATTAAATGGCCAGAATGTGAAGCTTTGGATACGCGAGATATTTTTTTTGCATTACTTTTGTTTACTAAAACTAAAAATACGATTTTGAGCCTTTTTCTGGTGCACCAATTTCCGCCCAGAAGCTGGCAGTTGCTCCAAATTTCTAATCCAGATCAAGATCCGATCTCCACGAATCCCGACTATGCAAATCCCAGCCGGGCCGACTCGATTTCCATCCTCATTCTTCCCCCAAGATGTCGATGCTTTTCCCCCGGAACCTATTACTATTTTCGATTTTCATCAGTCTACTAGCCTTGTTAACTTACCTATCCTTCTTCTGGTCAATCAGTAACGACCTGTATTACTTGAAAGAGGAGATTACCGAAGGGCTACGCGAATTTCAGGTAAAATCGCTCATTTTTTTGAAATTGAAAAATTCGGTTTAGCTCGACACTGAGGATTCCTGGAATAAGCTAATCTCGCTGGAATATGAATTCAAGCGAGCAAAAAGAGATCCAGAGGAAAAATTGTATACCTATAAGGCCAGGATTCCAGGTGAAGTTGTAATTCGTAATTGAAAACCCAAGACATTTTAGCCCGTATTCGGAATAGACATCGATTCCAAAAAGCCCATCAAAATCTGCAAAATTCCGAAGCTACAGAAGAACCAATTTTGCCGGCTTTTAATCTAGAGAAGCTGGCGGAGAAAATGAAGATAGGGCAGTCGGATAGAAAATGCCCGCAAGGTCCACCCGGGCTACCGGGGGTGGATGCTCCAAATGGAGGTATTGACGGTGCTTTGAATTTGTAAGGATGTTGGTTTTTAGAAAAAGGCGTGCCTGGGATTCCGGGAATACCCGGAATGAACTGGGCAGCGCCTGCCAAGATCGTGATCAAGGAATGTATCCAGTGTCCGGCGCAACCAGGTCCGCCGGGACCGAGAGGTCCGACTGGACAGGTATATCTATGCTCTATTTGGTGAATTTTAAAGGGATCGTGTCAGCAACTTCTGAATAATTATTCAGTCGTTTTCGGTAACATTGAAGCGTTGAAAGTCCCAAGCAGTCGGAAGTTTACGTCTTTGGCCATGATTTTCGTTCGAAAGGACTACATTCTAATTTCTGAGGGACAAAAATCCCGACACTTGCAAAACACATTTCGATTTCTGATGACTGCACCCTGGCCTTCTGTATGTCGGCATTTTGTTTGGTCACCGTTAAGAGGTGTTGGCAGTTTGGCAATAATTTGTCGGTATTTTGGTTCTTTGGTAATTTTGTTGTCGGTATCTTGGTTGAGGTTAGCTGGTTATAAACCCAGTTGTCGATCTTTTTCGCTAATCGGTAATTCGGACTTTCCAGATCGGTCCGCCGGGCGAACCGGGGCTGCCCGGCATCACAAGACGACTCCCCGGACCGCCCGGTGAAAAGGGCGAACCCGGCCGTCCGGGTATGGTCTTTTTTTTGTAGCTACGTGTTGATACCACCGTTCGAGAAGACTAGAGTTACAGAGAGTAAAAAAAACAGAAAAATGAATTTCCAGGCCCAATCGGTCCACAAGGCAGTCGGGGGGCTCCGGGACGGTACGAGATCCGGTGGATATGCGCGAAGGGGGAGCCAGGAACTCGGGGTAAAATTATAGTCTGCTATTTTCTAGGCAGCATACTAAAACAGAATTAATGAAAATGCCATAAATTTTTATTATTAAAATTGTGACACTTCTTTTAAAGCAGCTTGGCAGGCAGAAACTTCAAACGCAGAAATTGAACCAGAAGCAGTGCAAGATATTTTTAGGAGCTGCTGGTGAGATTGGTCCTGAAGGAGTACCAGGTTTTCCTGGCGAGCCAGGGCTGAAAGGAGGACCTGGAAAAGCAGGAGCTCCTGGAGCTGCGGGACTAGTTGGACCCCTTGGAACCCAAGGACCGCCTGGGAATATGGGATGGACAGGTAAAAAAGCCTATGAGCTCTCTCTAACTCTGTCTCTCTCTCATCCGTCTCTCACTCGTGCTCTCTCACCCTCTATCAGTAGCTCTAGCTCTCTCTATCTCACGGTCTCTCCCATTCACTCCCTCTCTATCATTCTCTCTCACTCTCTCCCTCGCTCTCATTTTCCATTTTTTCCAGGCAAAACCGCCAAGTGCATTTGCCCAGGAAGAACCCCCGGAGTACAAGGCAGCTTCAACATCTCAGAACCTAACCCGCTAGTCGGCCTCGAGCTGGGATACCCGATTGACCTTGGAAATTGATGGGATTTTGGATAAAGAATGCAGGATACTATTCTCTAGCCCACACAAGAAATACAGGAATTTGCCGGCTGCCATGCACTCGAGTTGTGTGTTGCACCCGGAAAATGCGGGTGGGGAAAAAGGAGACTGGCTCGAGATGAAACTTGCTCTCTCACGGGGGAAAACCTGGACGTAACGGCTAAATTTAAGATCTGAAAATAGGGGGAAAACTCATAAAGGCTTTAAATTGATTAACATAAAATTCTTTTGGATGAAGAATCTTTATAATCAAATTTTAGACTTGACAGTGGTGAAGTGAAATTTTCTTATACCTGTTAAGATGTAGCGTGTAATTTAAACATTCAAGTAGCTACTTCAACCTTAAAACATTTTAAATTAAGTTTAATCGGTTGCGTCATCAAAATCCTGTAGGGCCGATCCATCATCGACAGAGGTTTTTAATGAATTTTACACGAAATCTAGTTTTTCGGATTTTAAGGAAGTTTCTGATACCGCGTCCTCGTTCATTTGCGCTAGTTTGAAGATTTCAATGTTTTTTTATAGAGCGTATTGCATTTCTGGCTTCAAACTCACGGATCGATCCAAATTCAATAAACGGTGAGCGTTTCCCAATCAGTTACGTCACGAAAATCCCAAGGACTAATTGAAGATGGCATATGGAAAGATTTTTGTAGAATTTCGAACAAATCGGCTGCATTCTAATTTTTGCCCAATTTTTCGCTACCGTACTATCGTGGCTGGTTCGTTGAGCTATTTCATATTTCCAAAAAAAAAAATCCTTGTCGCTCCTTCTTACATCTTGACCAAAGCAAATCTAACGCATTTTCTCAGTTTGCGCACCAGCCAGCAGGTAGCCAGGCAGCAAACATGTGATTCAGCCATTTTCAAGGCCCCAAGAAAACGGAAGGATACCGCCAAAACCCTGTGCCCTTGACCAAGGTCGACAAGAGCTCGCAAAAACCGATGAAGAGGGAAGCGCCATGGGAAATGGGCGTGTTTTAGGAAACGGTCAAAAAGGCACGCGGATCAGCCTTTCACTAGCGGGATCGGCAGTGTCGGCGTTTTCTACCGTACTCAGCAGATTTCACAGAATGGCCGGCACTAACAACGATTGCTGGGAGATCTTCTTTATTATCATGTCTCCGGTAAGCTACGGTTTTAAAGGTTTTACAATTTATAGTGGGATTGTTTCAATTATTTGTCCATGTTAAATATAATAAGTATAAGTATATATTTTTACAGATATAAGTTAAATATCATTTTCATCCTGGTTAAAGGCAAAAATCAATACAATAAAAACCGGAAAAATAGTTTTCCAGTTTTGTCTAATTTAATTTAAAATTCGCAAAACTTTTAAAAACCAAAATATTTTACTTTTTGTACTTCGATCTATGTAAGTTTGGGCGTCAAGAAGCGTAGCCAAAATGAATCCTATTTTTTTAGCAATTTGGTTCACTAACACAACAATAAATCTCGGAAAGCAAAACGAAGAAAAACACAATGTCATATATTAAATTTTTATTGAATTTTCCATATTTTCAGCCAATCGCCGTCGCGATGATCACGCAAAATGGAGGACAAACTTGCTTGAATATTCTGTTGACATCGCTGTTCTGGATTCCCGGTAAGCCTGTTCTAAATTTTTCGTTAAATCTGCGAACTTCTTCAAACAGATTTTAACAATCAGAAGTCCCAAGGCTACAAGATTGAAGTCTTCTTTTAAGGTCTTATCCACGCCATCGTGCTGCGAGGAAAGCGGGATCAGCCTCAATAAAAAGCTATTTTTAAGCCACGATTACCACACAAGGTTTTGTATAATTTTATAAAATCATGACATTTACTACACATTACAATGCTTAAATCAACTTCTTAGCGTTTAATACACAATATCGAATGGTTTCTGCTCTTCTTTCCGTCCATATAGTCATTGGGTCGTCCGACGATATTCGTCACTTTTGCAAAGCACGTAGATTCCATGGATGTAGCCTGTAAAATGACAAAAGTGTTTAGAGCAGTTAGCGCGAGAGATTGAGAGAGAGAGCTAGAGCGAGAGTGAGAGAGAGGGAGGGAGGAAGGAGAGAGACTGAGAGAGAGAGAGAACGAGAGAGAGAGAGAGAAACTAAACTACCAATCTCATGACCTTACTTACCTGGAACGATAAAGAGTAATAATAATATGGTGTTGATGCAGGCTTGTCCCCCGCTTCGCGTAATCAGCGCAACCGCGACCGGCTAAAAGCGTGGTTGGATTTTACAAAACACTGGCAAGCAAATTTATATAACTAACCGGAAACAGGATAAGCCAGATGATACCCCATAGCTTGTCATTCTCAGCGGACGGCATTTTTTTTTGGAGAGAAAAAAAGAAGCGTATGGAAGTTGCCGAACTAATGAGAACCCTGGCTTCCCATCGGGGTTTGACAAAGCGTCGATGTTTTTGCATGATTGGTTCCAATTTGCCGCTTGGGCTGGAAGTCAAAATTGTGAACAGTGTTCTGGAAACAAAATATCCCAATTTTTTCAACTTTTTTTTTTAACGATTGGAACGTTAGATATTTTGAGAGCAACTCGTTGAAAGCATTATCGAGTGTCTCGACATTTGTGGTCGTCACGGTGGTCTTTAAATTTTTAATGGTACCGACTTTGGCAAACAAGCGGACAAGTGAAAAAACGAACATTCACGCAAAAACCTTTTATGATCGGAGCAGCTACGCTATTTTAATCTATTCAAAATTCTATTAATTGCTCGTAGTGAGCAAATTAAAACGACGAAATTTTTTAACCATGTTCCTCATACCATTTTTTCCTTATGCCAGATAATTCAGAGCTCTATAAAATTTTTAGGTTTATCGCGACCGGTTATAAACTACTTCAACTCTATCCAAGGGTGAGAGAAAGTTCGGAAGTTTCCGTTACCCAGCTGAGAAGGCCTAAAATTATAAAATAACGTTAAAAAACGTTCGAACGAAAGCGGTTATAAATAGATTTACCCTCGCTGTCTTTGGCTTTCGAATGGTACAGGTATAATTCCGTTGCGTCCGTTCCCCTTCGTTTTTTTTTGGTTGATTTGAATTAATTTTGGGACACATGGTAAAATTGTCAAGCCATTTATATAGAGTATCATAAGGGTCTTCTCCTTTTAATTACTGCACGGCGGGGCGGTACTCATCACTCTTCATCCTCACTCATCCTGCAACGTAGACGTCAAAAAAACCGATCAAAAAGCAGCTCTATATCATTAGGCAACTCCCAAAACTGCAAAAAGCCTACGACACTCGGGATTCCCAAGCCGTCTCCGATCCAAGTACTAACCGAGCCCAACGTTGCTTAACTTGGCAGATCGGACGGGATGCCGTGCTTTCAACGTGGTATGGTCGTAGGCGAAGGGAGGAGCGCAGGAGGGGGTTTTCTGCTGGGGGAGGGGCAATAGAGTACGGGAAGAGGAGAGGTAGGAGACAGCTCGTGTATTGCCCTACCCCATCCGCTCTGAAGAGAGTGGTTAGAGAAAGAGGGTGATCGTTCGTCGTGTGGTTGCCCGTCAATAGTTGTCTTTCGTCTCGTCCTCTAGTTGATAACTCCCCGCACCCATCCACAGCTTCGGTTTAATTACCCAAGTTTGAGGTTAGCATTAACCCCGAGACCTCCATAACAACGAGTGTTTCGAACAAATTTTGGAACGCGTTCTCTCACGAGGGCGCACAAAAATGGTTTGGAACTAGGATATTTTGTTGTGTAGAGAGTACCGGGAAGGCGAGAGGGACCCGACGGTTTTTTTGGTGTTTTTTTTTTTGTCAATTTGAACTTGTATTTGGGACACATGGTAAAATTCTCAAGCCATTTATATAGAGTATCGTAAGGGTCTTCTCCTTTTAATTACTGCACGGCGGGGCGGTACTCATCACTCTTCATGAAAAGCCAAACCGCATGGACGATGCCTGAAGTCCAAAAAATGGAAAACGTTCCAAAAAATGCCTCACCTGGGATGTAGAACAGGAAACAGAGAAGTAAATTGATGGCTGCCTGGGTACCGTCTCGTGTCATTAAGGCCACAGCCGTCGGCTAAAATAAAAAAATGCTTTGCACAAAAATCCAGCTCATACCGGGCATACGATAATCCAGATGATGATCCAGATCTTCTGGTCTTCGGTGGCAACCATTTCAAAAATAGTCGGGCAACTTCAGACTAGCTCTTTCATCTGCCATCCAGCGCCACGAGGTGTCGATGTTTTGTCGTGACTGCTGTCAATTTTGTTCGCCGGTTTCCTATGAGCAATTTGAGTCCCTCCGGAAGATGAGGAACTATACATTAAAAATGTAGAATCGCGGCAAAACCCGCTGAAAAGCTCATAAAATGACTAAAAATAAATTAAAGAGTTTGAAAAAATCTAGGTGAATCAATTTTCGAGATGAATCGACTCTTGGCGAACACGGCGCGGTCGGGTTGCCGTCCCCGATTGCTCTTGAAAAATATCCATTAGATTTGTCGTAGAGACCGAACTCCCCTTCCATTTTTTTTGGTTTAATCTGATGCAGAGGTGACGGGGCGCCGCAGTTTTTGCCGGAAATGCCGTCAGCCATAATGCCGACGCCTGACCGGCGAGGTTAAACGCAACAAGGTTTTTTAGAGCCTTCGATTTCGATTTTTTCACTTGGAGTTTTTTTACTTGTCCGCATTTTGACTGTGGGATTTCTGGAATCGCTCCGACTGTTGACTGCACCGGGATGAAATTCCAGCAAAGCGCGTCAAATACGCGGATTTCTACAGCTTTCGCGTCAAAATCACTTTTTTTAGATACACTTTTCGAAAATCCGGAAATCACTTTTACAAAAAACATATATCGCCCATCTAGGAATCGGGAAAAGGCACGGACGCTAAAAATTACCAACGGGGGCTTTTGGAAGATCTGACTCACAAGGGGATTTTCGAGAAGTGATTTTCGAACCATAATTTTCTAAAAATCTCCTGTCGCTTTTGCATGTATGATCCTACGTCCATAATAAGCCATCTCCGGAGGGGCTCCAAATTCTGCCCTTGCTGGTTTCCACCCGCCGAAGGTCAATGGGTTGTTGTGTCGCGTCAGAGAGTACACGCACGTACACGCCGGCCATATACACGCGCGCATGTGATGATGCTCCCTGGACCAGACTAGGGCTCCCCCAGCCATTTTCGAAGGCTGAGAAAAACAGAGACTCCCGCTGGCTTGCCGCCACCCCAAAACGCCATTAGGAATTCGTGCCCTCGGCCGTCGCGAGACAACCCTCCTCTCTTTTGTCATTGTTGTTTTCTGCCCTCGAAAATAGACGAAAGACTGGCTGGGCCACCTGAGTCTGGCCAGGGCCCTTCATTTTTGGCCCTCTTGGGCTATGTTGGCGGGCGTGAAATTAGTTTACATGTTGTTTTTGGATGTGCTATTCAACGGAGAGGGCACTCGCTGCTCTGTAGCCATTCATGACGCTTTTTATTGCGTTTTTCGAATCCAGTGGAGCGAGTGGATTCTCGGGTTGAATGGTGCTAGATTCCCAATTTTGAGATTTCAAATTTCTAATCCTTGGTCCTGAATTTTGCCTTTTTTTGCAATTTGCGATATTCCGTCTTTACGCCAGAATCTTGGTAATTCCGGTTTTTCCTTGAATTTCCATTTGTAAATTACAAAGAATTTCATTTCTGGATTGATCTCAAGTTTCAAGTTTTTCAGGTTGATTTTAAAAATTAAGAATTGAATGTTTAAAGAATTTTTACAAATGTTTGTTTGGAAGTTATTGCTTTTGACAAAAAGCAATTAAAAAAATTAAAGTATTTCCTGACAATTAAAGCATATTATCTAAACTATCCAAGTAATAGTAATACAAGTCAGTTTTTCCGATAAGGTAAAATTGATCGTAGCAGATTTGGATATGGCACGTTGATAGATTTTTAAAGTATTTTTGCAGGTAAAGTGTGATTCATACCAATTTTTTAAGGTCGTTACCTCTGCTTGCGATAAACTCTTAATTCAGAAAAAATTCCATGAAATGGAAATCGAAAAGGTTCCACGTGTCTTGTAATTCGCGCAAAATTCGATTTTTCTGATTTCTATTCCTGCCACTGACCACTTCTTCGCTCTCTCTCCTACTATGCAAATTCGCCAATCCGTGGGGTTTTCTGGTAGTTCTTTGTCGCGGTCTCCGCTCCTTTTGTGTGTATTTCTGTGCGGTACACGGGAGAAGAGTCCATTCTGTCCATTGCATCCGTGTCCATCCACCAAGCCGTCCACACGTACGGCCGGCAGCGGACCTTCCCTATAATGTGCCCCTGTGTCTGTCTGTGTGCCCCGCTTGCCATGTGAAATACCGTCCATTATGTCCACCTCCACCCCCCCGTGCTCTACCATGTGGTCTTTATGCCCAGCCGCGTGCGCTTGGCTATATTGAAATCTCGGCGTGTTAGCTAAAATCCGTTTATTGGAATCTTGTTGACCGGACCAGATGATTTAAAAACGTTCGTTAGCTTCAAAGGTTTAGCTAACTCGCATTTCTTAGCCTATAGGTCCAAATTATTCGAATTTTAACGATTGAGTCGCGAAAATACCCATTTCAAGTGCCCGCAAAGGCTCAGAAACTAAAAACTATCTTTGCTGGATGCGAATTCTGACATGAGCAAGTCATTAGTATCCTAAATTCGAAAAAGCAAAAAATTTTGACCCCTGAGTGACTCGAACACCCAACCTTTCGATCTGGAGTCGAACGCGCTACCATTGCGCCAAGGAGTCATGGGAGCGGGGGGAGAGGGGAGGGGTTATGAGGGAAGGGGTTGGTTGGTTGCGTCAGATTGCATATTTCGGGTGTTCTCGTCTACTCGGACATGTTTTTATAAAATTTTTGGATTTTGACGACGTAATTCAATAGCTAAAAAGCATTAATGTACCATGTCAAGACTTTGTCGACTTTCATGAGTTTTGCACGAGTTTGTAAGAGCTTTCCCCGTCGATTCTACCAGTCTAACCTCCGCCATTCACAGATTCGATATAATTAAATATGGTTTAGATTTTTCTGAGCGTCGGATTCACATAAATCCCGATTTTACAGTAAAACTACTTTACTGCTATTTTTTAAGTGCCCCGTTTCGTCAACCTGGCGCCTTTTACCGATTAGCCAGTCTGGGGGTTAACTCGGCTGGCCCCCTTGAACCGTCTACCCTCCATACACCAACCCCCTTAAAACCGGCACTCAATCCCCTTGCCGATTCCTCTTCCTCTCTTCACCGTTTTTTCTTTGCCCTCGTCCTTCTTTTGTACCGATTTCCTCAAAAAATTCGCGCGCGGCTCGCCAGCACTCCCAGGCCTCTGTACTCATATTTTGGGTCTA